GTGGTGGACTCTGGCTTTCAATAGAAGCTGGGATCACATCTCCCATCACACCCCAAACAGGTCTTCTGACAAGCTACAGGTATTCATTCATCAGGACTCAAGCATGTTCCTTCCCAAAGACAAACATGTTTCCGGGATGCTTTCTTTGCCTTTGTTCTCTGGCTCCTGGAATCTATGGAAGGCCCCAGGGCAGCAGGACCAGCTCAGACCCTTTCCCTTTATTTTGGGCAAAGTCTCCCCTTCCCTCTGACTCCCGGCCTGGGGGGGGGGGGGGCCGCGGCGGGGGGGGGGGGGTCGCTAGTCTCATATTCACAAAGTTCTGTCTGGGAGTAGCTTTGATATCTCTTGCTGTATTCCCCGCTTCTTTCATTTTGCATCCTTAAGGAAGTTGGAAAAAATTAGCTGGTCAGTCTCCACCCAGACCCCTCTTGTACTTCTTCTAACGCCAAATAATCATACTGAATGGTCCTCACTAGGATTGCAGGGCTAAATTTAGGGCACGAAATCATGCTCTAACCAGAGTTGTCCACCTATCTTGCTGCTATGTTCCTGCTTCCACCACCCAGCTTTTGCTAGATTTCTTGGTTTTCTACTGTTTTGACTACTGCTTTTCCACCAACTCATGGTTCTCTGGGACCCTTGAGAGCCTCTATTTACCCTGCACCCATGAGTCACTGAGCTGAGCTGAGGAATGGCTTCCACGCCCGGGCTTCTGGGGTTCTGACTCACAAAAAGCCAAATGAATAGCTCTGGGGTATGAGAAACAGACACTGCATCTGGGGGTGGAGACTCCACAGAAGCTCCAATGTTTCCCTGGAGAAATGAACTAGCCAGCCCCTTATTGTACTGACACAATGGGAGTAGCTATGCAGATATGCATAGACCACCAAGGGGAAGGCAGGTCTTGGACATACCACCTGGGTGTTTTAAGGAAGGTCCAAGCACAGCACAGTAGGTAGATCCCTTGGGACAGTCTGTGTCACCCAAAAACAGAGTAGGGCCTGATTGGGATCAGGAGGGGGTCTGAGGTGATGAGGTCATTCATTAACTCTCAATCCTGCAACTCAGCAGTGGAGGCCCTTTCTGCTCACTAGTGTCTCGTAAGCAGCCCTAGTTTTCCCAAGTGGGCAACAATGAACTTGTTCATAATGTAGCTTTGTGAGAGGTCAGTCTCCTCCTAGGCAAAGCCCACTTTGGAAAACTCTCGACTTTATTACTTTGTATGCATACAAGGGACACATACAGCCATGCACACAGGACGCAGGGATAAACACGGAGACATGGGAATGGGAATGCAGACACATGCACACAGACAGACACGGACACACAGGCAGATGAAATGGACACACACTCACGCACCCATACAGGCACTGGCACACAAACACACCAAAGCCAAAGAATGTTAGCTCTGGGAGAGTCATTTAAGAAATTTTACTCCCTCATTTTAACAAAGGAGGAAACTGTAGCCTGGAGAAGTGAGGGGACTAGCTCAAGATCACACAGCTGGTTTTTATTCTTTCTTTCCTTCTCTGTCCTGAATTCTGAACTTTGCCCACAAGCTCAGCAGGAGTGCTGTGCTTTGCTTGGGGGTCTAGCTCTGTACCACAGTCAGGGAATTATACCTGAGCAAAGAGCCAGGGTGATCACGGGGCTCACTTTGTGTGGTTCCCTTCTGTGGATGGTTGTATTTCCCCAAGTGACCACAACAATAAGAACATTCCCATGCTCTTCTTACAATGACTTCAACACTCCTGCCACCAGTCTGTATTCCTCCCCCTTGATCTGGAGCTTGTGACTGCTCCAGCCGATCGATGGGGTGCAGCAGAAGCAATGCTGTGCAACTTCCTAGTCTCAGTCATAAAGAGGATAGGACTTCTGCCCTCTCTCTGTCTCTCAGCACACTCATCCTGGAGACCCAGCCACCACATTTGGGCCCAAACCAGCCCACATGGAGAAACCATGTGGATGGGCCCATAGGAGAAAATCGTGGCCCCCAGTTGACAGCCAAGCGAGCCTTCAGATGATCCCATCCTCAGATATTGTAGAGCAGAGACAAGCTGCTCTTATGTGCCCTGTTTGAAATTCTGACCCACAGTATCTATGAACCTAATAAATGTTTGTTTGACTTTACTAAGTTCTGGGGTCATTTATAATGTAGCCATAGTAACTGCAACACCATCTCTTAGGAATTATAGCCCTGTGCTGCCTCTTGTCCGATGCTGAAAATAGTTGCCTCACATATTTTGCCCTGTGTTATTGTTCTAGGAGAGCTAAGTCACCAAGCCAGGACTTTAATCTGTTCTCTAAAATAATGATAAAGATAAATAATAACAGCAACAATATTGAAAGCAACTTCCTTGGGGCGCCTGGGTGGCGCAGTCGGTTAAGCGTCCGACTTCAGCCAGGTCACGATCTCGCAGTCCGCGAGTTCGAGCCCCGCGTCGGGCTCTGAGCTGATGGCTCAGAGCCTGGAGCCTGTTTCCGATTCTGTGTCTCCCTCTCTCTCTGCCCCTCCCCCGTTCATGCTCTGTCTCTCTCTGTCCCAAAAATAAATAAACGTTGAAAAAAAAATTAAAAAAAAAAAAAAGAAAGCAACTTCCTTTTATAGACTGCTTTCTATGGACTGGGCATTGTGTTGATCATTTTATATACATTATCTCAACGAAGCCGCATAGCAGTCTTATGAAATAGGCATTTATTATTAACCTCCTCTGTACAGAGAAGAAAACTTCATAGAGATTAAATGATTCACTTATGGTTTGCACACAGGTCTGTCTGACACTGAAGCTGATGCAATTGACCATATACAGAAGCTCATACAGACACACTCACACCCCCCAATCTGCATTATATATACATACATATGTACATGCCTAGGCATATAAAGATGCATACACACCCATTACACTTTTCCAGGATTTTTTATACATTTAAAATATTTCTTGTTCTCCGAGGTAAAAATCCCCTTCCCCCAATTTATGTTAAATAGACTGCAAGAGACCCAATCTGCTTAGTATTATGCTTCCCAAGCACACCCCAAGATAAAATTCTCTCCATCTGGGGCCACCACAGGCATGGGCGGCAGAGATATTGTCTCTGTTCTCCTGCCAAGGATTGTCTGGGACCCAGACTTTGGGGGAGGTGGGGCGGGACTCTTAATAGGACTTGGCTTGGTAGACAGAAGCCTTCTCCCGGGGCCATGAGAACTGTGCACTTGATGTTGTAAGTTTCAAAATTCAGTGAAACACAGTGATTCCCAAACATGCAAAAGCAGAGAGCACAGAACAAGAGACCAGTGCTTGGAAGGGGAGCAGGTGAAGGAGTTTGACACAGGACCCCCTTGTTGAAATAAGGTAATTTCCAAATATTCCAGAATAGTGATGGGAGCTGGCTGATGGGATGAAGAGCCATTCAATGGGGGCCTCTTCATTCTGTAGGTTTACTAGATTCAGCATGCCTCTTCTTAGGAAGAGGAATGGGAGGTACTGAGAATTTCTTGGCTGGCAGTTTCAGAACAGGAAAGAAGCTCTTAGGGAGCAAGAGTCTCAGGGCAGAGCACTGGGCTCAAGAACTTAGAACTTCTCCTTGGGGCGCCTGGGTGGCTCAGTCCGTTAAGCGATGGACTCTTGGTTTTGGTTCAGGTCATGATCTTGGGTTCATGAGATCAAGCCCCGAGTGGACCCTGCTTGAGATCTCTCTCTCTCCCTCTGCCCCTCCCCCTCCCTCCCTTGTGTTAGGCACGTTCTCGCTCTCAAAAATAAATAAATAAAGGGGCGCCTGGGTGGCGCAGTCGGTTAGGCGTCCGACTTCAGCCAGGTCACGATCTCGCGGTCCGTGAGTTCGAGCCCCGTGTCAGGCTCTGGGCTGATGGCTCAGAGCCTGGAGCCTGTTTCCGATTCTGTGTCTCCCTCTCTCTCTGCCCCTCCCCCGTTCATGCTCTGTCTCTCTCTGTCCCAAAAATAAATAAACGTTGAAAAAAAATTTTATAAAAAAAATAAATAAATAAAAATTAGAACTTCTTAAAATAGTGGAGACCCCAGTTCTAATCT